CGCTCCCGAACCAGACCTCCGTGACTGAGACTGACACCGCCAATCGGCTCGCCCGGGCCCAGAACCCCCGGGACGCATTCTCTACCCGCCCATTTCCATTCTGAGCGGCAGGGCTCAGCGTTCTTGATCGCACACCGCTCGACTCCCCGCCATCTTCGACTCCTACCCCGCTGCGCGCGCACCTAACGCCGTTTCGCGCCTAGATCCACCTCTCCCCACTGCCGCGCGTTGACGTCAACAGCCCTTTCCGTTTCCTTCGAGCACCGCAACTTTTACTCACGGTTCACGCGGCTCCAGCAATGGCCGGTCCCACTGCGAAGTACTCCGTCAAAGCCCGGTGTGGCAAAACAGTGTGCGCGCTCGCCTCCCGAACTTATACTCCTTGCCCCGGCGCGGGGCCCTCGACGATCCCCTCTATACCGTTTCAATTTTTGCGGTCGTCCTGAAGGACTTGGTCTTTCAGAGCGCGACCGGCCCTAAGCACCGTCCGCCTTGACAAAACTCTGCACGAATCTGGTCTCCCATCGAGGCCGGATTCGAGTAAGTGCCCCTCCCCGTTTTCCCAAATCCTGCGCGCTGTCCATACACAGGAGCCATACTAATCTCCTCCGTGTCACTCCTTATTTCGCGCGCGCCCCCAGATGCCACGCCCGACAATCTTTCACCATTCTTCGGAAAGATCGCCCGGTCCTCCCCCTAGCCCAGTTTGCGCCCAGATTCGTCCCCGGACCCCCTTTTTCATCTGTCACCCCCACGTGCGCGCCCTCTTAGTCCGACTCCCACACTGCCTCGACAGACACTAGGCCGAGAGGGTCCCTGGGGCGGTTCACTGAACAACACGGTCTGCTCTCTCACCCTTTTCACCATCTCCCGTCCGGGTTCACTCCCGGACCTCCCCTCTTACACCACCCCCTCGTAGATCGCGCAGATCTCCTCCGCCTTACCGGGATTCCTCCTAAGGGAGATCTGCCACGATCACTACCCCATTCGTCCCACTCTCTCCTCATGGACCTGGCCCTCCCTTCGGGGTTTATGCGTGTGAGCCTTTGCGCGCGACCAGGCAGATTTTATTTAAATCGTTCCCTAGATCCGCCCTAGCGGCCGCGTCTGATAGTTGGCCAGCTCCTGCGAAGCCTAACCTTTTAAATGTTTGGCCCCCATCATACAAGTTAGGCGGGGTCTGCGCCCCCGTGGTATATGGGTACTCCCAACAAGATGGGCCGTTGGCCTCAGGGTGCGGCTGGCCGCCTCTTAAACGGCTCTAACTAGGCAGAAAAATTATGGGGTGGTCCCCAAAATAAGAAAAAGGGATCGTTTGGAAGGGGGAATGAACCGCGGCCCTGCCAATATTCCCATAGCCTAGCGGCGGGCTCCCCCTAGAAAAACAAAAGGAGGATAGTCCTGCGGGACCCTCGACCCCCTAACTTTCTAGCGCTCCATTGCTCCTGCGTCGTCTTCCGCCGGCCTCGAACCTCGTACCTCCGCCGTGCAAATCCAGTGCCGTAACCTATAGGGCTAAGTCCAAGCCTGTGACCAGCAAGCGAGGTTTCCCATGTAAAGTGGCACCGCGCGGCGTTCCGGGCCAGGATACCGCCCCGGCCACTCTTCCAAACCACACTTGTACCCACGGCCCTTAGGCGCCCGTGTCGGCCTACCATCTCGCGCTGTGGCCGTCCCATGCGCCTACCGGCGTGCCAGCCTTACCCTCGGTCACGCGCACCTATCAAAAAACAAACTTTCATTCCCTAACCAAGGCCGTAACTCGGTCCAGGTCGGTCAGCTACCCCGGCCGCCCATTCAATTAGAAAAATCACACGCTCGCCTTCCATATTGCGCGCCCACCCACTTCCTACTGGGACAAGGCAGACCCTGGCCTGCGCGCGGACAACCCTCAGATTTTCCCACTCGGGCACTCAAAGTCCAAGTTAAACGAGCCTTTCTGTCACTTGCAAAACCCAGGGCGGATACCCTTGTAAGGGTATTCGCGCCGACACCACCTCTTGTTGCTGTGAAAAAAGGACCGTTTCCAAGATACGCCCGCCTCCAGCCCGTTTCCAAGAGACGCGTGCCTCAAACCCAAATGGTTTCAGGTAGAAACCGGCCCAACCGGGCCACCGTTTCAGCCAGTCGACCAGAGGCCGGGTGCATTTTCAATTTACACCCGGTCCGAGTCTGTGCCCAACCTATTTCCCTAGGCTGGAAAGCACACTTCGAATATAACACATATGTGTTCTATTCGAATAATATGCATATGTGTTGTATTTAAATTTTACGAAGAAACAATTGTTGTATTCGAATATAACTTTTTTTTTTCCTCGAAGGTCAATATATGCTCCGTTCTTGCCCTGGTGAACGGGACAGGCCCGTGCAGGCCCGTAATCACAAATGTGTTGTATTTTGGCCTTCGGCATAACGTTTTTTGTTTTTTTTTTGTCTCTCTCTCTCTCTCTCTCTCTCTCTCTCTCTCTCTCCGTGCACGAAAGCGCTTCTGACAACTAAGAATGTAGCGCGGCCAAGAAAGTGGCGCGGCTGAAAAAGTGGAAAAATAAGAAGGTCACTCACCAAGGTCTCGTTGCAATACCGTGGTCACAGAAACAAAAAAGAAAGGAGTCGTATTTGTCCATGTTCTAGCGAAAGATTCATTCTCATTTTGCACATTTGCTGAGGAGTGGAGCAAGGGCCCAAATAGGGGAAAGGAATGAAACTCAACCCAAAACACGGAAAGGTACGTCACTGCTTTACTTTTACCTTTTTGCCAATGCTCTAAAGCCTCTAGCCATGGTTCGAAACTGAGCATACTCAACGTGGACCCGACCCCCTTGTCCAGGTAAAGTTGGTCTCGCTCACTCGAACATAACATATATCCGTTGTAAACGAATACAAGGCATGGTATGCGTTGTATTCGTTTACAACCCTTATGTGTTATGTTCGGGGGAAGACGGTAGTACCTCCGCCAGTGTTGAGAAATTACGAGGATTTTTCGAGTTCCCGAAGAAATGGGGGGTGGGACACAAGGTCGACAATGTCCCATAAATCAGATTTTTTTAGTGTCCGCGAGTGGAAGAAAAAGAAAAGAAATAAAATGTTTTTTCTACTGCAATGATGTCAGACAAGTTTTTTTTTCCTTTGTCGTATGTTTCTTATGAGTCCCCTGCCAACGAGGCAGGGTGGAATCCGTGATCTGCTCAAGCTGTGTTTTGTCAGAGGACTGTAACGCTCATCACACTGGCACTTAGGGGAATGTATCCAACCATTCTCACGGGCGGATCCGTGTGCCCGTTTTTTTTTCCTTCGATTATATTTTTCAAATCTGACAAGCTGGCCACGGGGCTGAGATGCCCTCACTAAGGGCACACTCACACTACCACTTCCAAWAATGTATACAACTGCAATCAGGGCGAAATCTTAGTTTCTTTTTTTTTTTTAACTTCTTTTATGATTTCACGAACGCAACTTTTTTTTTTTTTTTTTTTTTTGTTATTTCCGTGAGAGTACCAAAAAGAAAATGGAGTGGTACTTAGGCTCGGCAAACTCGGAGCGTAGTGAAATTCAGGGTTGGCAAAAATAGGCTTGGAGGAACTACTGGTTTGACAAAAAAAAAAAAACCATGAAAATTGCCGAAGTTGGCGTCCATGGAAATTTTCACACCCCTCCCAAGCATAAACTCCTGCACACAGCCTCACAACAATTGTTGGAGAATTATTATTTTTTTTCTTCAAATAGAGCTATATTCTTCTATCAATTTCACCTCACACTACCTACCTACCACGACTTATTGTAGGCATACGGGGAACCCCGTAGCAGCCAGAACCGTGTTCATGAGAGAACAACCAGAACCGTGTTCATGAGAGAACATGTCCCAACCTGCAGGTGGGCGATACTGGCTAGGGGACAACCGGTAGCATCAGGGACCAATAGGACCACCTGCAGGTGGGCGATACCGGCTAGGGGACAGCCAGTAGCATCAGGGACCAATAGGACCAGTCCTACAAACATCAGCAGACTCTTCTCAATGCAGGTGGGCGATACCGGCCAGGGGACAGCCGGTAGCATCAGGGACCAACGGGACCAGTCCGCTCCCCTACGAACATCAATAGACTCTGCTCAATGCAGGTGGAGGATACATGCTAGCGTAGCATCAGGGACGAACATGACCAATCCCTGTGCCTCCGTGCGGTCCCCTCCCCTACGAACATCAGCAGACTGTGCTCAACGCAACTCCAGGGATCCAGTGGTCTATCTCTAGGTGGCGGGCGGGCTCCAAGCATGCCCAAGAAGGTATATGAGTGCAACGGGGATTGAACCCACGACCTCCTGAATGTCACTTGCGTGCCACCAACTGAGTTAGGCCGCTGGCTTTGCTGGAGAATTGCGGGTCCTAAGGTTTAGGCAGCCCGAAGCCATTCAATACCAGCAGGCTGCAGATCCCAGTCTAGATAACCCCTCTCGAATCCCACAGTGCCGGTGCCGCGGCCCTACGGCAGGCTTTAGAGCTGTGAAATGTCCAGCCTAGCCTACCCCGCCCATCTTCCTCACCCTCTCCTTGGCCTCCGTGCAGAAGTCAGAAAAACAGC